CCGCACCGCCTCCTTCCACCCGCACCCTTTTTCATTGCCGACACCAGCTGAAATCACTTCTCCTTTCTGCTGAATAATGAATGCATTTGCCACAGTCAGGCCACGGGCTGGTTTACAACCAGATAAATGAGTCTGTCTGCGCTTCCCCAGCCGACGCAGGATAAACGGTTTCATTTTCCTAAATTGAGTCCTCCACTCGGTGGCTGCACAGACTCTGGGGAAGGCGGGAGGCCGACGTTCTGCCTGGGTCAGCGGTTCTTTCAATAACTGCCCGCTTTCCCCGCCAGCGGCCACCACGTTGGTCCCGACCCTCCCTGCGCGCAGCTGCCTGGGCTCAGTTCTAATTTAGTTCTGGGGGGTGTCGCGCAGTAGGTCTCCCTGTTCTCTTCCGTGTGGATCCTCAGCCTTGGTGCTTCTGTGAGGCTGCGGGGCGCCCAGGCCCTGGGCCTGGCTGGAACCCCAGCCCCTGACCTCCCGTGTTGCTGGCAGGAATTTTACTTATTACTTCTTTTTAAATTATTTAAAGATAAAACATGTTAACAGTGCAACAAAAGTGTACAGCCCTAAGCGAGCCTGCTCCTGCCCGTCCCCAGCCACCCAGCCTCTCACTAGAAGCAAGCTGACCGCCCCTTGCCCTGCTTCCAGAGAATCGCTGGCATGACTCAGTGGTTGAGCATCGACCTATGAACCAGGAGGTCATGGTTCAATTCCCAGTCAGGGCATGTGCCTGGGTTGCAGGCTTGATCCCTAGTAGGGGGCATGCAGGAGGCAGCCCACCAATGCATCATTGATGTTTCTATCTCTCCCTCTCCCTTCCTCTCAAAATCAATAAAAATATATTTATAAAAACAAAACAAAACAAAACAAACACACACACGACCCTTTACCAGGAGTGGTTTTGTCTTGGGTCCATGTGTTCAGACTTTTGCAGATTCTAAAAGAGCGCATGGTGGTGAAATGTGAACAACGACCCTGCTGCCTGTGTTTTTATTCAGTGGGGGAAGGATTAGTTCTTATTTCTTTAAAAACAAGAATGAAAACCCCTGCTGGGACCCCGGGTTCTGACCGGAGAGAGCCCTGGCCCTGGTCTAGTTGCCTCATTTGTCCAGAAGTTTCCCCAACAGGCAGACCCCAGGGTGTGGGCGCTCTCTCTGCCAGGGACAGAAACGGGCTGTGAGCAGCAGCCCCATTTTACATCAGGCCCATTTAGAATTCCAGTCCTCAGCCTCTGTCATTCTGACTTCTCCTTCCTCCAGCTGACAGCCTTTGCTGCCCTGGTCTCCCACGGAGCCCACTAATTTCCGTGGAAACCCAAGCCTCCAGGTCTCCTTCCTTCCCGGGCAGCGCCTCCTGGCCTGGCTCACAGCCTGCGCCGGGCGGCCTCTGGGCTGCCCCTCCTCTGCCCCCGTCCGTCTGCCCACCTGCAGCTCTGAGGCAGGGAAGCTGCCTGCTTTCAGGCTTGTGTTCGGCCTATTTGATGAAGGGGCCTGCTGTGGCCAGAGTTTACCATCAGCACCACTCACTGGGCAGGGAAAGCCAGGAGCCCTCGGCAAAGCTGGGGAGGGGAAGGGCCGCCTTCTGCCCCGGCGATGGCCGGGTGCCGGGTCCTCCCTGGCCTCCGTGGCCACCACCTGGGCATTTCCTGTCTGTCGTCACTGCTTGGCCAGAGAAGTTGCTGAGAGGCGCTAACACAGCTGAGGAGCAGGGAGAGGGAGGTTTGGCATCGAAAAGGGACTTCATGTACGTTAACCCTCACCAAGACTGGACTCAGTTTATTGTGTAAAATAAAAAGGCGGAGCTCCTTGTTAAAAAAAAAAGAGAGAAAAGAAAGATGCCTTTAAGACTATGAAAAGGTAAAGCTTTATCCTATTTTCCATGGTTTTTCTCTCGACCAGTCACGGTAATTCTATTTAATCTGTTTCTCCCTCGGGCACAGGGATACTCAAGGGGCAAGCGCAACCCTCGTGGGCACCTGGGGGGGCGGGTCCTGCCCCACCATTCGGGGCACTGCCTGGTCCATCAGCCACTGGACTGACATGCCACGTCCTGGCTGAGGGTGGGGAAGGGACCAGGCATCGCCGTTCCTGCAGACTGGCCGCTCGCACCACGGAGGGCAGGGCTCCCCGAGGGTACTGAGCCTCAGTGCCACTCTATGGACCCCGAGGGTACTGGGCAAGAGGCTCTTGAAGAGTCTGTGTGGCGTCAGAGTGCAAGGAATTGCCCTGAAGAAATACGGACACAGCCGGGTACGCTCTGGGGGTTTCCCCGGCACAAGCACTGGAAGCTGGACGGCTGCCGTGACTCTGGGAGGAAGGGCTGCCTTAGACTCGGCGGCTGTAAGGCCCGGGCTGCTCTAGGCGGCTCTCCCTCAGCCCAGCCCGGCAGCGAGGACAGGGTGCCTCATGGGTCCTGGGCTGTCAGCTGGGCACTGACTGACGTGGGCAGCATCCCGGGATGAAACGCGACGCAGGCGGGGCAACGGGGAGCCCCTGCGTGTGTCTGCTCAGCATCACCCAGCCGCACACAAATCAAGGTCGTGACCTTGTCTTGGGGGCTGCGTGCCGGGCCCCAGGGCCCACGGAGTCTGAGCTGGCAGTTCCTGGTTGGGCGAGAGGCTGAGTTAGCGCAGAGGGATCCAAGGCCGGCACCCGGA